ATACGATCGGGATGTAATTTAAGACCATGAGGAACTTGTCCTAAATTATCAAAATATAAAATAATATTGATCAGAAAATTCTATTATAAATATATTAACCATCAAATCCAATAGTTGATTCAAGTTCAAGTCTTTGTAATGTATCAAGTCGTTCAGGCTGAGCATTAGTAGTAGTTGTCATTGTAAACGATCGTTTAGTTTATGATGACGAGAACGATAAGTGAAAAACACTAATAGACTGTTTCTTGCTACAGGTAAGTATGTTGACAACCATTTTTTATGAACTATTGCTTGGCAATGACCAACAGGATTATGATAATTATATCCAGATATCTTTGAACAATATAAAAAAGAGACCATAGTCGAGCAAAAATCAATTTATTAATCATGTAAATTTTTTAAATGTCAACATTTTACTTTCATTCAATTTTGATGACCAGTGACCTCTATTGGATATCTCATATCTTGTAATATTTTCCGATTCAGATAAAATCAATTTTCTTCTAAAATTTTCGAGGTTTATTGTGTAATTTTCTTAGATACTGTTAAAAAGATCTGAAACAACAATGATTTCGGAAGGATTAGATTTAAAACGATCTGAAATATAGAGATATTATTATCCTTTTACTTATATTGTAATTTCTTTTAATAGTTTTAGTTGACATCAGTTAAACTATGATGACAAAGAAGGCTGAATGAATTTTATGCAATGGTGTGTTTTTTTTGTATGTACATAGTTCTGTTCAATCAGGAACGAGATCTCAAGCATGGCCAATGACGTCATCACGGCGAACCATGATCGATGACCTATTTTGACAAAATGAGACATTCAACAGATCAAAAACATGTGATCATTGTTCTCTATGGTTCTTTTCAATGAGGTGTATGAAGCACGTCGAATAACCAATTCTACCATATTTGACAAAAGAGAACTGAGACAACCCATCATAGATAAATATCCTAAATGACCTCAATTTCCTCATAATTCTAGAGACATAATTAGTTTCCGTCTGGTAACGATATTCTCATGAAAATCACGAGTCGCGCACAACGTATCGATACCGATCTGCCAATGACCATGATCGACAATTGATAAATATGTAGAAAACATTCAAAGGTCTTTGACTACCGAGTGGAAGAATTGTATTCCAAGCAGTGATGTAACTATATTTCATTGCCTTTATTTTTTCACATCTTGCATGGCTATTTCCATTTTATTTCTTTCTGTCAAAAACTCAGCAAAATCTACGACAACAGAAACTTCGTGTCGCTTTCAAGTTGATGCGCAACTGCTTCCTTCTTCTTTAGGCTCGTAATCTGTACAATGTTACTCATGAAGATCTGCTGAATCTATATGTCAACTGACATCTACAAAAAAGATCGAGAAACATGCATGCCTGTGACCTCGACTCGTCTCTCTTGTATAACGATGTTTGCTTCTTGGATGACTTCTATAGACAGTCGCTGATCACATGGATTATATCTTCCGTCTTGATTATGTAGCTAGAATGTTGAAATAACACGAGTCTCTTCTCCTGAAGATGTTATACTTCATCGGCACACATTGAGGTTCCATTTCTTACTCTCTTCTTTATCTCTCTCTCTCTCTCGCTCGCTCTTTCTCCAGCCTTAGTCATCTATATCACTCTCCTTTTTTATATAAGCGCTTTCGAGTGTAACATTGGATAACGAAATAAAAAAAAGATCATGATCGAAGACAATGCCAGATACATCAGAAGTATACCGTCCCTCTTCATTTTCTCGTACTGTCTTTTGATGTATTATTTATCGTTTTAAGATGACCCTTATTTCAAGTATGCATCAAAGTTTTTTCCAGATTCGTATGAGTTAGTCTCGAAGTGATACACAACGAGTTGAATACTTTTTATCATTATAGTTTTTAAACTGATTTGCTCGAATTGAAAAATCGAGTCTTAGATTCTTGAGTGAACAGTTGAAGTGCTTTTTATTATTACTAGTCAACTGATTTCAATTATAATTCAAATGGCTATTATCCGTAGTTATGGGCAGTTGTAGTACTTTTTCAATTTCACCAAATCTTGAGCGCTCAAATCACTGCCACGTCCCATTTGTGCATCCCAGCCCTCGTAACCAGGATAAATTGCCTGAATGGTTGGTTGACCATTGCGTGAAAATGCATCAGTTCGATAGTGCATAATCGATGCTATAGTATTAAAAAGTAGAATGAAAGTGATTCTAAATATATGATCGATCAGAAATAATCTCACCATAATCGTAAGCTGTTCCAAACATATTAACTTGGCTAGCAGTATAGCGATCGAAATTGTGCTCTTGTCCTTAAAAAATAAACACATACAATCCTGATTATAAAATTAGTTTATTTGTAAGTACCAGACAAAATGTTTTGACGATTAATTCTGACGTAATGGTCTCTGTCTGGGCGAGTTTGCTCATGGGCAAAACCAAGTGCATGCAGAATTTCGTGTAATATCACGCCTCGGTCAATGCATCCGGGTAATTCTAGTGAAAAATCTTGTGCACCACTGGTTTTAGTTTTACCCATATACGACCAACATCTATAGTCAAAGTATACATTTATGATCCACTCAGCTTACATGATTCAATAAAAAAAAGAAATGTACATTGACTTACCCTTGACCAGGATAAATATTTAACCAGACTCGATTACTACCCCGATCGACGAATCGAATACAATTGTTTGTTAATTCACTGATCTTCTTCATTCCATTGGTGATCATGGTCTTGTGACTAGCCGAAAAATAACCATGAAGTTCATAAGGTACAATACCATTAGGCCATGGTCCATGTTGAGTAAACGCGATTCGATTTTTATCTGCTGGTATCGCAATATCGCCTTCAACTAAATTAATGTCTGTTCGATTGTTCTTTGATATATTGGGTAAATTGAACAAATTTGGTACGCCCATTGCTGGAGCTTGAATTGTCTCTTCATTACGATTTATCACATTGGCATTGCACGACAGCACGAGAAAACTTACGATAAGAACTAAAAGATACTTCATTTTGATATCATTGGGCTTTCAAAATTGAGAAACAGTCTTTATATAGAGTACTGAAAATATTATTGTTGTTTTTTTTGTAAAATGCAAAAACAATGTCAATAGAGAAAAGAATCGCGTACTAATCTCGTTATAATAGAAAATCAGAATCAAGGTGAAAAAGATTTGTATCAAATTTCTCTAAATAATGGTTCGTAAGAGATACACCATGAAAAAAATCAGGCATGGTAAAAACCGATATCTATTCTGCACTCACAAAAAGTTCGACCTTTGTATAATATAGAGTAATCCGAAGTATTACAGTATTCTCTTAGTCAATTGTAGTGAGTCGTTATGAAATAGACTCCAAGCATACTCTCAGAAAGTGTCTACAATTGACTAATCACTTTTTGTGAATTTTGTGTGTAGTTAAAATAGAGCTTTTGTGATAAAGATTGTCAATCAGATTGTTGTAAAGCTCGATCTTATTAAAATCATAATAGCAGTAACATGTCATCAGATATACTTCAATGTTTTTCTTCAAACATTAATATTAATCACTGTACTCGTCGTTCTTAAGATCGTGCAGATTCTATGATAGAAATAAAATGGAAACTAATAAATACCGTTGTAGTAACTATTTTGACTTTTTCATGTTTCGTACGAACCTCGTAATCTAAAAGCTTTAGCTGAATAATGTAGTATTCAACAAGATAAAAATAATTATATCTCAATTGATTTTATTTAATTCCATTTCAGCTTCTAAAAAATATTCACTATCATGATGTTTAATCTAAAGAGTCATCTAAATATGAAATATATTATGACTGTGACCTATTACGATTAGATTATCCATCTAATTATTAGGATACTGGAAAATATTTTCATTTGAATTGATTATATAACTCGGATTTAGTAGGTCAATTAGATAGTATAATTATAGCAATAGCTATTTGGTACAAATGAATTGACTCAACAACGACATTTTGATGATACTATATGTAGATTGAATAAATATCAATATCCTAATAAAGTTACATATCATAAGTAAATGCTCTGTATGAAAATTCATCATAAATTACGTTTATGTTTTGTTTTTCAGGAGTAGCAATGCAATAATATCTGAATTTTCACATTATGGATCGTATTTTTGCGATACTTCGATCGGTTGATTTTAGCCAAGTCTTCAAGTGGAACTTGCTTAGTTTTTATCGCTCATCAAGATGTTATTATCATATTTCATCAACTTCGGCAATAACATAATATAGACCAATTAAAACAAAACTCATCTTGCTTGAAGTCTTGTAACTGAAAACAAAAAGCGTTTGAAGTATCACACAAATGCAATCTTTGAGATATGAAATTCAGATATTGATACATCCCTATTTCGAAAATATCATTTAGTCTTATTCACTGGATAGTTCCATGCATAGTCAGGTATAAAACAAAACAAAAAAGTCTTTCGAAACTTTTCAAAATAACCTCTGTTATAGAGATTTTTTTTTCATCTCATCTCTTACACATCCAAAACTTGAGGCTTGCTGTATTTTGTTTGCTCAAATATATATGAATAAAATAATTATATTTGAATAAATATTTCCGTGTATTTATTTTTTTAGAAAAAATACTAAATTTTCGTCAATGTCATCGTCATCTTTAACACATAACACAACCATTTTAATAGTCGATGGTATATCTGTTCAAATTATTGAATTATTACTTAATGAAACTAATTCTTTGATTACTATGAATACACTTTTCAATGATAATGAAACATCCCGAACATCTTCATCTTCACCAATAACTCAAACATCGAGTTAGATTTGATGATTCATTTGTTTTGTATTTGTACGGATAGTTTATCATATATTTGACATGTTAACATAGAACAAAAAAACAACTATAAAGAAAGACAAAAAATGGAACATTCTTTTTTTAACCATTTTGTGAAACTATTACAAAAAACAAAGGAATACTAAATAATAATCTGGTTTATTTTTATTTCCATACTACTGAACAAGCTGTTACAGGGCTCTCAGCATCTGTTATTAATTTTTTATCTTCTCGTATACCAAATCCTGCAAATAGTCCATGTACAATCCAACTACCAATTATAGCATAATAATCTTCATATTTTGGTAATAAAAATAATTCTTGATAGATTATATTTCTATCAATAAATTTTCCTTGTGTTTCATCAAGAACAGAATCTCCACTAGCATTAAATAAAGTAACATTATGTCCACAACGACCAACAATAGGTTTTTTAACATAACCACGTTGTTTTAAATTATCTGTTAATGTCCATTCAGTGCATAATAAATGTGGATGATTAGGAAACATTGACCATAAAATAGGTAATATGGCTTTATTACTTGGTATTACTTTCCATAATGGTTCAATAACTTTTATATGATCATTTAATACAATTTCACATAAACGTGGATGTTCATTATTAATTTTTCTATTTAAATTTCCATTTTGTTCAGCTTGTAAATAATCACTAAAAATAGTTTCCCACATCCATGTTTTCCATATTAATTTAACTTCATTACCATCATTATCAATTATTTTTGAATCTTTCCAATATAAATTATTAAATAAAATACATAGTTTTGATTCAATATTTGCATTTTTTAAAACATTTTGCATATAAAGTGCTGTTAAAATTTCATCTTTATCATTATCAATTAATAAATGAACATAATTTATATTTAAATTAGAACAAATTTTTTTCCAACTTTTAACTAATAAACGATGTAATTGAAATGAAGACATAAATGTATGATTAAGTTTAACAGCTTGTGCCCATTTTTCTTGTATAATTGCCATTTCAAATAATGCTGATGCACTATCAGCATTATATTCAAATGTTTTTAATTGTTGACCATCAAATGCTAAATCAAAACGTCCAGTCATTGCTAAATCTCTTTCATGTAACCATGATTCACGAATTTTAGGCCAAAAAATTTCTGGTATACAAAAATTTTTTAATATATCATCATTTTGAATAACATAATTTGTTGCATCCATAAACATTTCATGTAATTCATTTGATGTACTACCTATAGATAATGTTAAATCTTGATCAACTTTATAATAAGGTAATGTATCTGTATCAGCACGTATTAAATTTGCACCAAATAAATCCATGAAATATTTTTCTGCTGGATCATCTTTATTCAACCAATTATTCATTGAATGAAAAGTTTTATCTGTTATTGAACAACGTTTTAATGTACCTATAGGTTTAGCTTCTTGATATTTTTTTAATATTGAATCAAGTTTTGTTTCATCTAATGGTTGTAATTCATCATTATCTTCAATTTCAATCCATCCACATATTTCATCTTCATCTTCAAGAAAATAACAATTATCTTTAATAACAATAGGAATTTCACGTGCATAATTATCTGACCAACTATGATAAATAAAATTTTGTTCAGCTATACGAATAAAATTAGGTACAATATCACATATAACTGCAACATGACCAAATGGTAATTCTGTACTACGTGAATAAATTAATAATGAATCACGTTTTGGTTTATGTGATGAACCATTTGGAAATAATTTTAAAGGAAATTTTTTACCATCAGTAACACGTTCAACAAATTTTAAATCATGCCACATATCAGCAGCATGTCCTACCGGTTGAAATATACAACTTTTACGCATTAATAACCATCGACGTGCAAATTCAACACATTGCCATTTAAAACCCATAAATATTCCATGTAAATAATGACGTTCAACAGAAAAAAAATCATCATCACCATTTGAATATGCATGAACATTTGTTGAAGCTACACCTTGTACTTTATTAAATGGTACAACTTGTCTTGCACTTTTTAACATAATAGATGCTATAATATAACAACAAAAAAAAAAAAGAAAGATGATATGTTAATGTATAGATTTTAGTTTAGCTGTATGTTTATTATCTTTTCATTTCTTATCGATAGAAGAGTGATAGCAAAAAAAAGAGAATTTGAAATTACGATCATTTTACCATCTTTTTATTTTCTTTTCAATCATAGAGTGACTAAGAAATAATTATTCATATGATCATTATCTCAACGCTTTGTATCTTTCGATATACCGTGAAAGAACTATAACTGTCGATGCTTTATAGGAAAGTAAAATGAGTAAAAATTTCCGCAAATCGTTTTGCAGAAAACAAGATGCAAAAATGTTTACTTGACTTTATCAGACAGTTTTTGATAATGATAGCATGAAATATGAGAAGAGCTCTCTCTCCCCCTTTTGCACTCCAACCGACATCAATAGAACGAACAACACATCGATAAGGTACTTCACTTTATCTATTTGCTGATATATAATATAAAGGTGAATGTACTTTGAGAAATAATGAATTTAAATGATTAATAGAAAAGATTTTTTTTTAAAACTTTTATAAGAAAAAAATGAACTATTTCACTAACTATAATGAATTTTACATACAATTATACTGTCGAACCAAATAGAACAGATGCAAACTTCCACAATCAGATCAGAAGTATTAACTGTCGTTGTTGTTATTTTTGGTATACGAAATGTTTTTTATTGATTGTTTTTTCCTTTTTTTTATTTTAAATTTAAAGCAAAAAAAGAATAGAATACTGCATATATATATGTATATAACGATAAGAATAACAGGAAAAAAAAACATTTTATAACAACAATGACGATGCAAAACAATCCTCTTAGAAAATAATTCTATGTCCCACATCACACAACACTCATATGGATATTATATATTTCTATCCTCATCCTTATTTGCTCAAGGAAACTCTTTCTCATCATGACATAGCGGAAAAAAAAAGTTCCGATAGTTTGAAAATGACTCATTCTATTGCATATTGACGTTGTATTTACTTTTTCTTCATCGATAATTCTTCTATCAATACCGTCAATAGCTAGCGACTTGTTATTTTAATGTCGCTAGATGTCGAGGGTAATATTTGATATTTAATACATTTTATAATCACAATTATTTCATGTATGTTTCAAATTTGTATTTAGAAATACTTACTTGAAGTACTGTTTCGGGAATAGAATAATTTTGGATGCTTTCGGAATGATATATATTTCGTATATGTTCGAATAAAGATCACAGATGATTTTCGGATTATTGAAGGTATCATTTAATTTTGAAAAAAACTTATTTTACGATTGATATATAACACATGCGTAGTGTTGTCTTTTTTTGTCTTCCTTAAGTAAATATGTAATAAAACATTTTATCTTTAAGTTCGCTTCTCACAATACTTGATGGAAAAAGAATTCACCATTTGTAAACAAAAAAAATGACACGTATTTGTTAAACAATATCTTATATAGATATTTTTTAGTTTTTAATTAAAATCGCAATATTTATGTTAGAAAAATATACTTAATATTATATATATTTAACTATTGGTCCATAATCTATTCAATATTAAAATATGTCGATAAAAGCAATTATATAAGGACATCTTTCTCATTGTATTATTTCATAATAAATATTTCCCAATAAATTACATTCAATCATAAAACTTTTTTTTTCTAATTTTATTACTATGTGTGCAATTTAATTGAACTCTATTTGTTTGTTTGCAAAATATAATCTTATTTCATTAAATAACGATTCTTAGAATAGTCTATATAGTAAATTAATTTTTGGAGTATTTATTAAACTCATCTTTGGTGTATGAAACAATATTTCTCATGTTTTTTATTTGTATACGTTTGGTTTCATATTATAATGAAATGGATCGATTAAATGAAAAACTGAAGATATAAAATTAGACACTATTACAAACATTTCGATTTTTCACCTATAAAACAATTTCTTCGGATGTAAAATCGCTTTTCGACCGAACAACTTTCATTTGATGAGTATTACTTAGTAATAGGAAAGTCTATAATGTTCCAGTTTTCTGAGCCTTCATTTTCGAGATATCGAAATTTTACTGAGATCGCCTTCAGGTCACATTTTCAACTTCAAACTTTGCATGAACAAACTTCTCAATGAGATTAGTTCATTGGGCAAGTTATAACTTTTCTAGTATCTACTGTTCTGAGATATTCAAAATTCTCTCATATGTAAAAGTAAAATTTTGTTCATATATTTACATCTCCAGAAAGAAAACACTAAAAATGACGAAATCGAAAATCGATTTCACTCCTGTAGAGGTTCCTTCATTAGTTAAATAACACAAAATGAATAATTATAATCTTTTTATTGAGATAGTATAGAGTGAAACAAATAGCTGGGAATATTTATTAATGTAGTGTGTAAAGATATATATTATAGAAAAATAAAAAGAATAGATGAAGTACTTACACAAAATTTTCATAAAAAAAAAATAATCAAACATTTCGAAAACTCAGGGAAAATGTTTTTAACATCTCAATCATTCGAATACATACTTTTCTTCATATAATAACAAACACATTAAAAAAAACTACATTTAACTGAGACAAGAGATGCTTAGATATTTATCATACTAGAAGTGAATATTTTATTAAGCTCCTCAAACAAAAGTCCATTTCCATCAGATTAATCAGAAACAAGATAAATGCATGAGGATATAGCTTGAGATAAGATCTTTCACAAACAATATGATTTTTTATTTGACATGTTGTTTTTTTTCCAAAAGCTTTTTACGATTTCCATCACGTTCTGCTTGAAAAATATGTTCTTTTCCATAATAAAAGAAAGCCGGAAATCTTTATCTGTTTGTCTTCTGTTTATGTTTTTTTTTGATCTCGCATATGGAAATTCTTCAGAGAGCTTCATTGTAGTCAATTGTTTTTATTTGGTTGTTTGACAGTGCAACGACTGATAGAGCTCGTTTATTGAATGAAACCTGTTTATTTTCATATAAAAATGCATCTCTATAGATGACCATTTTTTAAGAGTTTTTCGAGATATGGTATTTGGCCATGAAAAATAAAAGTTAAAAAAAAAGCAGGGCTTTGTCAGACACTGAAGTCTAGCATACTTCGATGAATAAAAGAACTACATATATAAAATGAAAGCCTACAGTAAATTTTGGGCTGCCAAAAGTGCTGTTTTTACCCATTGTTTGTTGAATATCTTCCGAAAACGTCATGGCATAGGGTCGAAAATTTTACCATAGTCTCCCCACTATGTCTCCAACATATCCTGAAAATCTCATATGATTTGAATATAACTGACCCAGGGTCGATTTTTGAGGACGGGGCTTTAAATAGTATAGAATTCCTACCACATAATATTATTTTTATTGATAATCTTATTGTTCTAGAATCAGATAAATTCTATTTTAGCATTTAATTTTATTTAAAAACAAAAACGAAAATTTATTTCCATTCTCGCAAAAATTCCATATGAAATTTTCGAAATTTTTCCACCATAACTTTCATCTGATCAACTGGTGGTAAAATTGTTGTACGTAAATGATGGGTACCTGGTTTTTGTTTAAAACCACTACCAGGTACAACACATACACCAGTTTTTTCAAGAAATTGAAAACAATAGAATGCATCAGGTGCCATATTTTTAGATTTAGCATGTTGAATTGCTTTTTCAGGTATTTCAATACGTGGAAATGCATACATAGCACTACAATAAAAGTCATGTGTTTTTCAATTAAAAACAAAAAAAAGGAAAATTCATTTCTACCCCATGACAGCATTACATCGTACACCTTCAACAGAATTAAATAATTGACTAACAAGATCGGCTTTTTGTTTTAATCGACTAACAATATCGGAACGTTCTTTTTTATATAATTCATATGATAGTTCACCTTCTTTTGGTGGATTTATAATTGCTCCCATCATAGCTTGACCCCAAGCTGCACTACATAATGATGCAGATATTAATTTATTTACTTGCATTCGTACATCTTTATCAATATTAATTAATTCATAATAACCACCACGAGAACCACATCTGATTAAAAAAAAAATAAACAAAAGATTTTCTTTATAAAAAAAAAAACAAACTTCAACTTACTCGCCATGCCAACCTTTTGATGCTGAATGGAATGAAG